TTAGAAGTACATCATTTAAGTACATACAATCCAACTTGGCACGTATTGAACTATATTGTAAAATTAAACTTTGCGTATGGAAATGAAATCCTTTGATAAAGTTTAATTCCTGCAAAACCTGACCATTTCCTGAAAACCTATAAAACTTTAAATGCAGGTTTGCCAACACTACTTGTCAAGTGATAGCATTTTCTTCCCTTCAGCAAGTTGTCTTGCTTTTCTTCGGAACTCAAAAATCTTTCTAGAGGGAGGTTAAGTTGAAAGTCCTCTTTATAAAAATATCTCCCTTCACAGCCTTTTCTGGCATTTCTCAGCTCTGAATTTATAAAAGTAATTCCACAACACATTCACTGAAACACCTAATATAAATACAGCAAAGCTCACAGTCCTTAATGGGGGTTACAGGAACAGGGGCTACACAAAGCACGTGCCACTACTGCCCTCTCTCGGGAGAAGTCGGAACCTGACATTCCTCTTCCTTGAAAGACTACAGTTATCCACAACATTATTTCTATTATTAGTTTTAATATTATACATCCGAGCATATGTACTGTCATTTATACTTTATTTCAACTGGAAGTGTCCTCTCCCAACAAGAGGGATTTCTATTAGATCCCTGAACAACACAGGGAGAAAAACCTGCCAGTACACTAAAAAACAAAAGAGGAAACCCGCAGCATTTGCTTAGACACAAGTGATTTCAGTGCTGAATCCATCTACCTGCAAATGCAATTAACAAATACACCATCAAAAAATTTCAAAAGCTGAAAAAAGTTGGATCCAGACCACACAGGAAGAGGTATTAGACCAAAAATTAATGGAAATAGTTTAAATATGCTCCACTGTTTTCCAGAAAGGCATAGTTATTCAAAGGTGGGTGAAAAACAAACCTAGCAGTGGCAAGGGAATAAAAAGAGCTATTGGACAGACATGCTTTTTAAAAAAAAAAAACACACAGAAATGCAGAGAAAAAAATGCAGAGAAAAATTTGGTTAACTATCATTTTAAAGAAATTGATGGGTCACAAACAATTAGGAGCCAGATCAGTTTAAAGACGACATTTAACATTTAATTGCTAGAAAAACACTTGAAATGGCTCTATTTCACAAAATGTAGATTCATAAAGAGCATTCTGTGCTACTGAAGTTTATCTCTAAACAGGTCTAAATAAGCTGGAGTCATGGTAATATTTTAAAGGCAATACAGGGTGTTTAGTCTAAATCAATCCCTAGTACTACCGTTAAAAATTTGCCATTTAGTCCTTCAATACACTGCTTATTCAGTCCTCTTCACTTGAAAGCTGAGCAAAGCATCCCTTTCCAAACTGGTAGCCCAGTCTCTAAAACTGGCAGCAGATTCTAAGACTCACCAGCTAAATTTTAACAGTTTAGTAATCAATGCTGGTTTCTACAGAAAATACTTCCCTCAGCTTTGTTTCAGAACTTGTAAGGGGGAGGGAGGCACAAAGAAAGAAGTCGATGAGATTGCTCGCACACATATTTATCCAACCAAGTAAGAATGCTTTCTGTGTTCTCATCAAGCGCAGCCAGCAGCTTTGGCCAGCTGCAAGCAAGTTGCCCCACTACATAATTACCAAGCACTTCTATGGTTATTTGAGCCTGAAGAAATCGGTATCAGAGACCAGTGACCCAAAAGCTTTGAACTCCACATACTGTCATTTAAAAAAACTGTGCCAAATATAAGTAGGGTATGAGTACCTATACACATACATATAAGTATGGGTTGGAGGGCAGGGCGACTTTGGCACTAAGGGGACTACAGCAAGCTCTTTCAATTACCAATTCTCAGAGCATCTCTATAACCTACTTATTAATAAGTAAAAATAAAAAAAACAAAACAGACCTCCTTTGCCCTCCTCTGGAACCGGCTTTCCAAGTGTGCAGCACCAGACAAGCAGCACAACAGGGCTCACGTTTACCTCAGAGATGACACTGTCACTCCAGCTACGTTCGTCTGACATTCTACATTCACACATTAGGAAACGACAACTATTTCTGGACTGCAAAATATTATCTGAAAGACAGACAGATTATATACCATGCATCCTAAAGTGGCAGGTTGCTATGGTTTCCCACTGCAAGAACAAAATACCCTTCATTAGGTTATCTGAACATCTCCTCTACCAAACCAAAAGGGTCTGTCAGGGAAGCAGACTGTCCTTTAATCACAGCTCTGCCTTTGTGAAAACCAGGGCATCTTTCTCCTAAAACAGCTTTTGAAAAGAGGGATGTAGCTGTGCACACGAACTGAAGTGTCCTGATGCTTCATATTCCGAGCTGTGTGCTAACCACCGAGTTCCCACAATAGCACAGACACTGACTTGCAGGCTGCTGCACTCTGAATCTATGATTCAGAAAAAGTTATTTAACTCAATTGTTTAAACTACTACCTGAACTTGTTAACTCATTCATTTGGTGAAGCACATTAGCAATTACAATCAATTAGCAGACCCTCTTATCTTGGAAATGCAACACAGATAACAAAAAGCAAACTATTATCCTCTTAAAACAAGATGTATCGCTCTTCACTGGGGCATTGGGAGAATGAGTTACTCCAGTCTGACACGAAGCACTCTTCTGTATACTCAGATTATTTATGGGACACTTTGCAGAGTGTGACAGAGCTCTACTTTTGAGAAAAACAGCAGCAAGATTTATTGGAGGACAGTCTACAGCAAGGTGCAGGCATGGGCCTAGCTTGAGAGGCTTCCTCCTTCCCACCAAGGCAAGGCATTCACACGATCCAACCCTTAAAGATACTGTTCTGCTGTCACTTTAATTTGATGTTTTAGAATAAAAATAGGTTTCAAATGAATCTGCTCTCCAGTCTAACTTGCCATCTAAGTGCAAAAGCTAGGACCAGAGAGGCCATTCCTGTGCAACCAGGGACAGTGGCCAACACATCGGTGTTGAAACACTCTCAGTCCCATAATTTTAAAGGTAGTCAACAGGAATTTGCATTAGAAACATGAGACAGTTACATTTCTCAATCAAAGATCTTAAAAAAGCTTCACCACAGAGTTCATTTATTTGCAAATACACTGAGCTAATAGCTCTTGAGGTTGGATGAAACTAGAGTCAGAGGAGAAAGCTTAAACTGTAAATATTACTCAACAGCAAACTGACCCTGTCCCTAGACTGCTCCTCACAAGGTGATTAACCAAAACACACACCCCTTTGCAGGCTCATTAATAACCTAAGTCCCCAGACTCAGCTTTCCCTGTCAATTCAGGAAATTACTCAGTGTTCTGAATCCAGCTGACACTACTCTTCCCAGTAAAGCAGCCCTGAGTCTTCTCAAAGTGGGAGGAAATACCTAGCTGAAAATTACGAGCAGAAAAGAGGTAATCACGGAAAGCTCGGCTGCTATTTTAAAATAAGTTTCCACCACAACATCTAGGATTTCATACCCCACGCCCTTTTCTTCTAGGACAGCTAACTAGTCCTCTTCATGATGCTTGTTGGCTGTTCTAACAAAGGCTGGGGGAAAGACGTGTGAAACAGCAAATAATTTTTCTGAATTGCTTTCAAGTTCAATACCTTTGGGGTACAAGGAGACTATTTTTAAAATCAAGGCATCACAAAAACAATTCAAAGAGATCACAACAAACATAAGCAAGGACACAAATCAGGTATTGGATAGATACAAGAGACTGGGGCATTTAGATTACATGTTATTCCAATAAAAAAGCTAATGGACTGCTATCATCCCTATCCGAAACAGAGCTTTGTGCATTATCATTGCCGTCAAGGTGGGGAAACACTCACCAGTCTGCTCAGCAATTTCACATAAGCATGTAGTAATAAGTTGTCCAGTTCGAAAAAGTAGATATCCTGTTATTACCTTGTAAGTTTTCTTTATTAAGAAAATGAGGGGAGAAAAAAAGCATGGAATGGATGTTTGACTAAGAATAGGAGTTAATTACGACTTTTAGACCCATTCCAGGCTTTCGTATTTACAGAAAGTGTTACAATCTCTATATTCAACTCTGACAAAGCATCCTTCTCCCAATTGATTTACAGCAAGAAAACACAGAGCTTGTTGCATTTTTCTGCTTTTAAACAGGAAGAAGTCTACAGGCCAAGGAGAAATGCAGTGAAAAGCAAGAGTCACAAGAAACTTTTGGAAGTTACAGCCAGATCATCCAACACATATCAATGTTCTCCTTCCCTTCTACACTGCCCTAGTGAGGCCTCATCTGGAGTACTGTGTCCAGTTCTGGGCTCCCCAGTTCAAGAAAGATGAAGAGCTACTGGAGAGAGTCCAGCGGAGGGCTACAAGGATGGTGAGGGGACTGGAGCATCTCCACTACGAGGAGAGGTTGAGGGAACTGGGCTTGTTCAGCCTGAAGAGAAGGCTGAGAGGGGACCTTATAAATGCTTACAAATATCTGAAGGGTGGGTGTCAGGAGGATGGGGCCAAGCTCTTTTCAGTGGTGCCCAGTGACAGGACAAGGGGCAATGGGCACAAACTGAAGCACAGGAAGTTCCGTCTGAACATGAGGAAGAACTTCTTCCCTCTGAGGGTGACGGAGCACTGCAACAGGCTGCCCAGGGAGCTTGTGGAGTCTCCTTCTCTGGAGATATTCAAGACCCGCCTGGACAAGGTCTTGGGCAGCTTGCTGTAGGTGAACCTGC